ATAAAATCAGCAATAAAACGATGGTATAAAGTACAAATAGAAGTAATCCCGTAGCTCCTCGCACTTAGAAAGTTTAATTAAACGGAAGCCCCTATAAAGAGAAGTTAGTGAACGACCTCGACCAAATTTTCTCATATCCATCATACCAAACCAATTGTTTTCCTTCGACAACAGTTTATACGAGAAGATATCCTCTCTTTCCTTTTTCAAAATTATGCTGTCGAATCTTCTCCATATTTTTAATTTTGTCTCACTTTGATGGTCGCCATCAGCTCCAAACTAACAAAATCATTTTTTGCCATTCTTATAACTCCAACATACAAACAGTTATCCTTTAATAATGCTAAATAAATATTTATAGTGCAACACAATTAATAACAAGTCACGCCTGTTTGGTGCGAACCTATTTCAATTATTTGCTCACCAGTGTAAAATATCTTAACACGTTCGCTACCAGAGTCTGTTTCAGTGACAATCTGTATGATTTTAATTTTTTATCAAATGCAACGTAAGCTCTTGCAATAGATAAGGATAAATATTATCGCAGAAAAATGGACGGGTCCTAGAATATTATCGAACGTATTACAACTTAGCCTAACAACGATTGTAAAATTGGTTTGATTTTCATTATGAAGATACGAAATTGTGGTTGTTACACATAACCGTACGTGACGACTCGTAATCAATGTGTTGATGTTGAAACACGATGACAAAACAATGAATGGAAAATTGTTATGGAGATTATAGTAAACGGGTACATAAGTATACGTTTCCCAATATTAATGCAACATCTACCAAGCCCTAAAACTGATTGGTACAAGTTGTTTTATAAAAATAATACGTACTGATTTTGCTAAACTATTTATTTAATTGGTTTCTATAAAAGTATCTTCATAATTTCAGCAATTGTAAAATAGAACATGGACAATAATATTGTACTAATTGCAAAATAAGACAAAGAACCCTTAATTTAACCGACATTGATAGGTTCAGTGTCAAACGTGTTAAGGGCTAGTGTTAAATGATACTTTCATAAAACACTGGATTACTAGAAGCATTTACAACATTTAACTAAAAAATTTCAGGACTGCACCCCTTGGATTTGAAATACTCGAATAATACGTACTGATTCTAAAAATAATTTCTAAAAATAATACGTACTGATTTTGCTAAACTATTTATTTAATTGGTTTCTATAAAAGTATCTTCATAATTTCAGCAATTGTAAAATAGAACATGGACAATAATATTGTACTAATTGCAAAATAAGACAAAGAACCCTTAATTTAACCGACATTGATAGGTTCAGTGTCAAACGTGTTAAGGGCTAGTGTTAAATGATACTTTCATAAAACACTGGATTACTAGAAGCATTTACAACATTTAACTAAAAAATTTCAGGACTGCACCCCTTGGATTTGAAATACTCGAATAATACGTACTGATTCTAAAAATAATTTCTAAAAATAATACGTACTGATTTTGCTAAACTATTTATTTAATTGGTTTCTATAAAAGTATCTTCATAATTTCAGCAATTGTAAAATAGAACATGGACAATAATATTGTACTAATTGCAAAATAAGACAAAGAACCCTTAATTTAACCGACATTGATAGGTTCAGTGTCAAACGTGTTAAGGGCTAGTGTTAAATGATACTTTCATAAAACACTGGATTACTAGAAGCATTTACAACATTTAACTAAAAAATTTCAGGACTGCACCCCTTGGATTTGAAATACTCGAATAATACGTACTGATTCTAAAAATAATTTCTAAAAATAATACGTACTGATTTTGCTAAACTATTTATTTAATTGGTTTCTATAAAAGTATCTTCATAATTTCAGCAATTGTAAAATAGAACATGGACAATAATATTGTACTAATTGCAAAATAAGACAAAGAACCCTTAATTTAACCGACATTGATAGGTTTAGTGTTAAACGTGTTAAGGGCTAGTGTTAAATGATACTTTCATAAAACACTGGATTACTAGAAGCATTCACAACATTTAACTAAAAAATGTCAGAACTGCACCCCTTGGATCTGAAATACTCGAATACAGACGCGAGCTGATTCAAGTTATGCTTCCGCACTTAGAAAATCGTTGGTTCGATGCGAGCTGCAGCGTTAACGCCTCGAGTAAGGTCTAAAGCAAGACCGATCGCGATTGATCATCGGGCGCAGGCGTCTCGTAACATTCAGCGCAAGGTTGCGGTCGTTCCCTCTCACTCCGCTTCCGAGCTCTGCTATAAGGACGAATTCATTAGGTAAGGAACGGGCGTGAGAGAAACACAGACGGTTCGGCAAAGAATCCCCGGCACGTTTTTCCAGCTGCAGACGATGCTATCCGCGAACCGACACGCAGAAAAATCTTCCCGGGAGGAAGAGCGGCCCATTTGCGGCGCACAATTATGCATTGTGACTGAATTATTCGACGGAGATGCCTTGTACCGTTCGTTAACCGTACAATTAGCCAATTGTTAATTGCTCGAGTTCGCATGAGCCGTTTCGCTCGTCTCGGAACCGTATTAATCATTCACTCGGGGGCTTCCGCCCGTCTCTCTCTCTCTCTCTCTCTCTCTCTCTCTCTCTCGCCCTCTCTCTCCGTGCAGACAGGGAATCCGCTCATAGAGTTCCCGCTCCAACTAACATCGGTTTCTCACGACTTTGAGGACTTATAGGGCCACGAAAATGTAGAACGTATTTCTATTTTCAACCATTACAAATGTTTTCGATGACTACTTTTTTTTAATACACTTTTCAAGTCAGTTCTTATAGACATCTTGATCTTTTAATTCAGCCTAATCAACTCTTTTGTATCCGATTCGAACGCAACCAAATTTCAATAATGTGTTAACGGGTTTATAGGCAGATAACTTCTTTGCTTAGCCGAAGATTGCAACTGCACAGGAAATTCTAAGGAAAGAGTTAAGAATCGTGTTCAAAGGCTTAGTAAGAAACGAACAAAGGAATTATGAAAAGGATCAAGTGGAGATACTTGATCATTGATATCTGGATCGCATATCCAGAGTTCAAGGCCCCTTTATCAGCAACTTTGAAGTGCTGATCTTTAAGTTCGTTTTCTTCACCGATTACTCATTCGAGGCCTTTTGTACATCGAACCCTCAACAGCCAAGGACTTAAGTTAGTCAAGTTTTAGTTGCAGCAGTACATTACAATTGTAAAGTAACACATCCTCATGAATAACGTTATATATTATATATATAACGCTACATATATATATTATGCTTCTTCTTTAAAAATATTTAAGCAGATTCCTTGCAATATATGTTCCTTCACATATTCGCATATTCCTTCCAATATATACATACATATATATATATATATATTATGCTTCTTTTTTAAAAGTATTTAAGCAGATTCCTTGCCGATAAACGATACGATTAGAAGACTGTTAATTTTCTGTTGAGGTGATCCATCTGATACCATCGCCCTATGATACGTTATTATGGGGATCAATAAAAGCAGCAGGAAGACTGTCAATGTTTACGAAAATGTTTGACCATCTGTTTGAATGATCGGTTATTGGCGTAAGGGTTAATACATATATGTACACAGTACGATACTTGTTTCGTAAGCTTGAAGGGCGACGTTCGGGACACGTCATTCCCATGCTTAATACTAATCGTAGGCGAACACTTTTGCGGCCATATAAGTATGCAGTGTTGTACTCTTACGCGTATCGCAATAATTTCCGTGCGGTGGGCCGCGAACCCGTTTCGAACATTTCAAAAAGAATAATGGGAATTAACCACCGGGTGGATAACCGTGTGTACAGGCGTTCAAGTCGAAAATGGCGACCCGAAACACAATAAAAACCGTGGCGGGAAAATTGGAATGCAAAGGGCACGTGTGCGTGTCGACGCGTTTCCATTATCACCGCGCACGGGCGTGCCGACGAAATTGGCTTCAAAATGTTCGCGTGATTCGATTAACGAACGCCGTGACACGAATCGTTCTCTCTTTCCTTTCTCCTTAATCTCTGAGCACAATGCAACAACTTTTTCGCCCGGTTCGTCGGTGCCCGTTCCGTTGCGCTCGAAATTAACGGGCTGCGTAATTTTTTTGTGAAACGTCGCCTTAAGGACCGCGACGGCACGTATTTGCATTCGATCCGTTAAATTTTGGTGGGCAGCTCGTTAAACCCGCTAATAAGACGCGTTACATAACCGTAATTACATCTTGCGTCCGATCGAGATACGCACGAAGTTTAAAAGTTAACGAATACTTTCGCTGTATCGCGATGCTTGCCGATAAAGGTCTGTATACATTGCGTAATGCCGACGTCGCGAGGAGATGTTAAAACCAAATGCGGTATGAAAAACAGATAACGCGAACGAGCAGCGAGGAACGACGATTCTCTCTACCTTTACTTGGCAGGCTTAATTGCGTTATACATTCGGGAATCGAACTGATATGTAATACGGAAAGGATTACCCGAGGGATAAATTCCTCGTGTGTCCAGTCGAAGTAATGTTTTGCGCATGCATGTGGGGTATTTTTTGCGGTACCGAACGTGCCACCGAGCGAGATGCGGTAATGTCACTGGCCGTTGATACGGAAGAATCGAGAAGACAGTTGGACAGGTTATTTCTCTGTCATTCGATGCGTTTAGAATGTAGCTGCGTCTGTCATTTAAATAACGCCCACTTTTGACTCGCGAGAAAGAGCAACAACTTAAAATGTAATCTTCGATCTGACTTGAACCGCTCGTGGAATGCGAGCCGCGATCGCCTACGAGCAACAGCATGCTCCGATAATTGTCGTTCCCGGAGGTGTTCGATGAAAAAACATCTGATGAACCACGAAAGTGGCAACGTTTTCACGGGTAACAGTACCGCAACAGTTTTATCCTGCGCGCGAACACGTCGGAAATGCGGCACTCACCTTGTCGTATAGAAGGTTTTTCCTGGCGGACCTGCGGGTATACACAGGAAGCACAATGACACTATGTCACATGAACGAATATTCATAGAAACCACACGAAATAACGATACAATCACCTCGCGAAACGTCACACTCACTTTGGTCGAACGGCCATTTTGCTACACACGACCTCGAGCGAAGAACGTCTTGATCTACGAGAGACTGGAGCTTGAGGCTTGAAGTTGATCCACTACAATGTGCTAGTGACTTTCGCGGTGCCAACGATGTGAAGTTGTGTAGTTTGACTTGATCATAGAGCATACTGACGAAAGTAATGCTCCAACATTTCGGTGACCAATCTTACAGCGCGCATGCGTCCGTAAGTGATATATGCAGCATTTGAACATTGTATTTGAGTGCGCATGCGTACGCAAGTTGTACGCCATGAACATCGTTCGAATATTTGCGTTTCCTACGTAAATTTATCTTAACATTAGTTAAACTCAAGTTTTTATATTATCGTTAAAATAACACAGCGTTTTCCAAAGTTTCCGATTTCTCGCATGCAACGTTTTCATCCAACAGGCGAATGTACAGGGTAAAGTTACAAATTTGTAAAAACGGCAACACGGTAAAAGGATTTTCCAATCCGATGCAAGTTTCACCTCTAGAAGAATGCTTCGTGTCAGAATTTAGTGAATTCCACGCACTATACCTGACAATCCTGACAGGGGCGGCACGTGGACGTGTTCTAAAATTGTTCGGTCGCCTATAGTGACGTCATTCAGTTTCCACATAATTATAATGTCCAACAATTGCGTATATGTAGTATTCTGTCATGATATTTGACATGTGTGTAATATAACTGCGAGAATTGTCATTGATATTATACATGACAATTGTGTACGCCTGCTCATACACATCCTTGGTTGTGTTTCACGTAGCTCTCGCTCATATGAATTTGTGTAACACACTTTTTCTATTAAACATTGCCATATGGCGGTTGCATACATGTATTTGATTCAGAGTAAATTTATGTAAAAAAGGCTAGTTTAGAATTAGATCACAAAAATGGCACCGCAGTTACGAATTTTATCTAATGTTTTGGAGGTAAATGTTATGCACTTTTAGTACTTATAAACGAGATATTTGCATAATGTTATAAATTATATGGTGAATATAAATATATTTGATTTTCAGCGTTTGAAAAATATAAATGAGAACGTGACAGGTTACCTGTATGGTATTATGTATAATAATACGTTAACTGTATTAACATTTAGTATAAACATAGAAAATGACACCGAGGCGAATATAAATCACACGATTTTACAACTGCATATGCCAGCAGAAATATATCTCTGTGGTGTTGTACATATTGGTGAATGCGAAGAGAAGCTTCCCGATACATTTCAAGTAAGACCAACAAATTTTTTAAGTTTAACTATGTTTACTATATCTTGTTTAATTTAATTAGGATATCGATATCACGGATAATCCGTTATTTCTAAAATATTCAAATCAAAATGCAAAAATAGAGGTATATTTTTATATTCATCAAAAACTTGAAGCTGTTAATAGTGTAAACATCATTCATGAGAACGATATTCAAAGAGAATTTATGTATATCAGATTAAGAGGAAACTTGCCATTAATTGCTCAAAATGGTAATATAATGGAGATATTAGATGAATTAAGAAAAAATGTAAGCTACAATTATTTGATTGAGAATGCTGTAAAAGAAACATGAAAGCTACCATAATAACAAATAATCTTTGTAACAGATTGCATCAGGAAAAATAGGCATACACTTTCCATTGAAAAATACGTTTCTCCTTAATAATGAAAGTAATTCAAAAGACGCATCCTTGAAGGAACTTATAGATATCCCCGAATATTATCAGGGATCCCCAAATGCAAAGAAAAACATTATGCGGCCAACTGGAGTTGTGGTATGTTGATGTTCATTCTCCATAATAATTTGTAGTTTTTCATTCGTGAAACAGGATGCTGATTATATCCAATTTAATAGGATGTTACGGATGCTAATATACTTTTAAAACTGTCTGGAGATAGGTTCTCTGAGGAACGTATTAAATATGCTCCAGTACTCCAATATGTAAAACGTTTGTATTTATTTTGAAGAAATGTATAAATGCCACAATAATACTTTTCAAGACATTTCCATAATTGATATTCTATTTATAATTTAGGACAATTTAGTAGTTTCGAATGTAATCTACCTATTGATACATTGTCTTTGGTCAATCTCGATGTAAGTTCAGCAGATTTACATGGTATATTGGTGGAGTCAATGTGCCGAAACATTAAATTAATAGAAAAGTGTTTCGACGATCAGCTCAAACAACCTGAGCAATCTACAAAATTGCCCATATCCATTCATTTCAAACCCCAAGGTTTGGGACACTTGTTTACAGTAGTCTATCCAAAAGGTAACACCGATAAAGAGACAGGTAAGTTCTTCTCTATCAGTTCTTTATGTTATTGAAATTATATTCGAATGCCTATAGTAAATTTTAAATTGCAGTACCATACCGTGAAGTTTTACATAAAACTTTAGCACTAGAAATGACTAGACCTTGCTTTTGTTATGGAAATGCTGTGAGATTTTCTAGTACAGTACAAGCAGACGATGTACTTTTAAATCCTCATGAAGCAATTTCACAAAACAATGGTAATTTGATAGCATAAAATTTCTTCATATCATGATTTAATATGTTGTATTGTATTTTATTACTTTTTTTTTAGATATGCTAAATAGTACACGAAATGTAGGCATCGTACAAGGTCTATATGCATATCATCATTATATGCAGGATAACTTCAATGATAATGGTTGGGGATGTGCATACAGATCTCTGCAAACGATTATTTCCTGGTACAGGTACTATTGAAATCTATATTTTATTCACATGAGTAACTAATTTTTATATACATTATATTATGGATAATATGTTTAATATTTTAGATTACAGGGTTACACTGAAGTACCTGTACCCTCCCATCATACAATACAAAAGTGTTTATTTGATATAGGAGACAAACCATCGAACTTTATTGATAGTAAACAGTGGATTGGTTCCACAGAAGTTGGTTTTGTATTAGAAAGTCTTTTAGGTATTAGTGTTAAAATACTTTGTGCATCCACTGGAGAAGAAGTTTCGCAACTAGCTCCAAATTTAATACATCATTTTCAGACACAAGCTACACCAGTAATGATTGGTGTGTAACATTCAGCTTATTTTTTTATAAAAAAATTATCCTTTTTTTAAAAACATTTTCAAATATTTTCTAGGGGGAGGTGTATTAGCTCACACAATTCTAGGAGTCAGCTGCGATGAAAGTACTGGTGATGTGAAATTTTTAATTTTAGACCCACATTATACAGGAACAGAACATTTGCCAACCATAATAAGTAAAGGTTGGTGTGGGTGGAAAAGTAAAGACTTTTGGAAGAAAAATGCATTTTATAACATGTGCCTTCCTCAAAGGCCATTGCGCATCTAATGTTATTGAATTTGAGCCTAAAAGAAAATTAAATGCCATCACACTAACAGTGTTCAAATGTACTCATTCCAACTAATGTATTGGAAACAATGTGGTACATAATTAGATATTGCATTTTAAAGTGAATGTGCAACTATAAAATATCATATTTTGTGACACAGTTATTACGTGTGAGAGTTGCCATCAAAGAATGTGTGTAATAGGAAAAATTGTTATTATGTTGTCTAATGTAAACAAATTACATTTTACAACTATTTTCCTTGAATTCCTGGGAATGAATAGGAAAACATAGTATTTAATGCTATATACAATGTAAATATTCATTCCGATTTTCTATATTGATACTTCAATGTTATCCGTTTTAAACATTTTCTGTTTTAAATATTAAGAATTCTTTTATATTTATATTTAATGTAGATGAAATGGAATGCATTTATGCCTGCAGTAATTGCATGTCAAGTTCGTTTTCAAATTCGATATAAAGGTGCACATACTGTTTACAGGACTAGATGTATTTATTATGTTGAAATGTACTATGTTCCTTATACAATTTTAAAAGTAAATTCAAAAGTACATCGTGTAAAGTGTAACATATAAATTAAACGGTTTATATAAATAAACTAGAAAAATAACTTTGTTGAAAAATATTAATTTGTTATTTGCCTAAAACAGTTTTCTATTTCGCATCGATACAGTAATTCTTCAATTACATATACACAACAAAAATAAAAAATTACTTTATTTTTAATTTTCTACAATAACAATATACTTACAATCAAGAATTTACATGTTTCCTGTACTCTTTTGCAGAATTTGAGCAAAACGATTGGTAATTAAAAGAGAAACATCTATAAACCTATCAACGCAATTGTGTAAACATGTTTCTGTTCGACTGTCCAATTTGGTTCCTGGTTTTTCAACACATTTCTCCCAGCAAAAGTCATTGAATTCATGAATCTAGAAATATTAAATAATAACATTTACAGCTGTATATCGATCCTAGAATATTATTTTACAAACATACTGTACAGTTACTTTGGCGTACAAATTTCCAATAAAAGAAATTGCAATAGTAAAATGTTCTTGAAAAAAGAAAAATAACCTCTCTGGACAGCGTGTATAGATTACGTAGTATCATAGAAAGTTACAGATTATAAAATATTTAGTCGTTTTAAAGCTGCAAATGTTAAAATAAATCACCTGTGCTTGAAATTGTGCCCTTTCCTTTTCAGCCAAAAGGAATTCTTGCAATTCACTGTCCACTTTGGGCTTATCATCTTGGTAAGACGAGCTACTGCCATAGTCTGACATATCTTCCTATTTTAATGTATGAAAATAGTTTATGAAACAATTTTTCCAATTGATAATGTACAATTGATTCCAGCACACACGTGGTCGTTACTATTGATAGTCACTATACATTTGTAGTTCAGTGTACAGTATATAGTTCCCTCTGTACGAGTTTACGGTGGAACTTTATGTAACACATTCGGCTTATTTCGCTATCGAGATTCATAGTTACCAACTACAATGTGTCAGTGGTTATTAAATCACTATAAAAAATTATTATTCAGTGTATATTTACTGTATAATATATCAATACTTTAGTAGGGTTAATGTGTTCAACATTTTCATATTACACATATCATTACATATCATTTTACATATTCCTATACTACATACATAAACGGTTTGAATAACTCACGATACATATACATATAGGGCGTTCCACATAACTGTCCAAAATTTCAGAAAAAAATGTTTTATTCCAAAAAATCAAGGTCACCTTCATATTTTTAAATTGCATGGTATATTTTTTACTTCATATTATTGTAGCTCGTGTCAAGACAAATTCAACGACCTATTACCATAACCTTCGGATGACCTCGACGTAAAAAGACATGAAATCAATGAAGCGATGCTGCTTTAGATGTTGCACACTTCGAATTGGTACAATGAAATAATAAACAATAGTGCACAAACATATAACTTCATTGTTTCCATTTTATTTTACGTTAAGATTATCCAAAGGTCATGGTATGAGATGTCATTGAATTCGTGTTGACATGAACTACAATAATATGGAGTGAAAAATATACCATGCATTTTAAAAAAGTAAAGATGTTCTTGATTTTTTGAAATAAAACATTTTTTTCTAATCTTTTATACTTCAATCTATAGTATCTAATCTGATTAATTTTTTTTGAGAACATTTATTTGTCCGACTATCAGAAGTGTTAGAAAAATCGTGGCGACAGATACGTGGAACATTCTGTACATATATGGTGATAATTTATAAAAGGGCACACCTCACTAATTTCTATGACCTTGAAATATGTTGTCACATCGGCATTCTGAACAACTTTTCTCTATACATCTCTGAGTCACTCAGCATTGATTTCAGAAATAATCGAAAAATATATATAACACTATACTATATTTTTATAAGTTCGGGACCACATCCACTTAGTATCGTAATTGGTAATTATGATTGGTATAACAAGCGAGTCTGTGAAGACAAAAAAGCAAGTCATTGATAATTTTTTTTCTATGCATGTACAGTCAGTCACGAAAATATTGGGGCACTAATCTTCAGAAGTAATAAAAACCTGCTATATTCACAATCGTTCATTGTTTATAGCTCATACCAACATTAAACCGTTTTTGTTGAAATTTTAAATTTTAGGCATACATATAAGTTACATATAAATTGAATTATTCACTCAAATAAAAAAGATAAAAGATAGGAGCTTCTTTAATGTTTTATCATTTCAATCAATTTTAATTTCCGTAAAAATATTTTTGATGATTGTTTTAGTAAACTCTAGACCTCCTAATATTTAAAATTTTTTAAATGTTTTACAGATTTATCATCTAACAATTTGAATTTTAACATTTATAAAATGTGAATGATATTTTTACGAATATCTCATGTCAAGGGCACATGCATAATGAAAAGTTGTTTAATATGTTGACCTTGAGAACATAAGGTCACTGATTTCGGTGAGGTATACTTTTTTTATAAATTATTATCCAATATATTTCTGATAGTAAACATAATTTAAATGACACAGTGTGCA